AGAGAGAGAGAGAGAGAGAGAGAGAGAGAGAGAGACCGACCAGGCTGTGAGATGGAGCACGGAGAGATGAACGGGAGAGACAGAAAGAGACAGACAGGAATAAGGAGCAATGTCAGACTAGAATGGGAGGCTGGAATGGAAGCCTCAGAGAGACTGGGGTAGGCACGTGGGGAGAATGGGATAAACGGCATCTGATCAATCAACCAGCTTGGCCCTCATTTCATCCAACATCTGCCCCGTGGCCTGGACCACCTCGGATGGAGGAGCGGCCTGGTCCCATCCCGAACACGAGTGGCTAGGGGAAGAGCCATGGGCGGGGCGGGGTGGGCTGCCCGGCCGCCCCTCGAGATTTTATACAACAGCTAGGATAAAATAATGAATCTTGAAATGAAAGATTATTTTAAAGATTATTTTATTTATTATTATGGGGCAATAGCACAGCGGGTAAGGTGTTTGCCTTGCAAGCGGCCAACATGGCCGACCCGAGTTTGATTCCTCCGCCCCTCTCGGAGAGCCCGGCAAGCTACCGAGAGTATCTCGCCCGCACGGCAGAGCCTGGCAAGCTCCCCGTGACGTACTCGATATGCCAAACACAGTAACAACAAGTCTCACGATGGAGATGTTACTGAACCCGCTCGAGCAGATCGATGAATAACGGGAGGACTGCGACCGTGATTATTATGGGGGGAGACTGAGCCACATCCAGCAGTGCTCAGGGGTAACTCTTGGCTCTGTGCTCAGGAATCACTTCTGGAGGGCTCAGGGACCCTCTGGGATGCTCAGGATCTAGCCTGAGTTATTCATATGCCAGACAAGCGCTCTACCAGTATCATTTCTCCAGTATCTAATAGGGTCCCCCAACCCCTGCCAGGAGTGATTCCTGAGTGCAGAGCCAGGAGTCACCCCTGAGCATCGCCCACAATGGGTGGTTATTATTTTGCATTATCAAAGTGGGGCGTGATATCATTGCCAGGGTTCTCCTAAGAGAGGCCACAGGGTTAAAATCAAAGAGGCGGGTTACTTTCTGTGAGAGGGACCCTCAGCGATGTTTCCAGGATAAACACCTGATTTGTGATCAATCCAAATAAAGGGAATAAGAACTGGGGACAGAGCAATAGTATAGCCGGTGAGGCTCTTGCCTTTGACGAAGTCAACCTGGGTTCGATCCCCAGCGTCCCAGAGGGTCTCTCGCGCACCACCAGGAGTAATTTCTGAGTGCCGAGTCAGGAGTAACCCCTGAGCATTGTCAGATGTGCCAGAAATAAAAACAACAACAACAACAAGCAAACAGAAAAAGAAAAGAACTGGAAGATGAAGAGAATAAGCACTTTGCCCCCTTGGAGCCAGCAGTCGGACTGATGTGGGGGTCACACATGCTCTTAGGATTCTGGCCTCTCTCCAAATTGGAAAACAAGCATGACATTGAATTATCCCTTAGAATCTTCCAGAAGCCTTCTTGGACCCCCCCCCCCCCCCGCTCCACCCTCATAACTTTTTTGCGTTTCTACCATCCTAGTGTTTCAGCCACTGCTCACAGTCATTTTTTAATTTTGATTTTTTTCATTTGCCCCCCCCTAAGCTGCTCATTCAGTTCTCCCCACGAGTGGCCAGGGGACCATGACACGCTGGAGGGGTTGGCCCTGAGCTCCCCACGTGCAGCGCACGGGTTCCGCCTTTGCCTGCCTCTCTGAGACCTGTTCGCGGTGATTTGTAAAAGTTTCCCTTGCCTCAGATTATTATCATTAGTCGCTAGGTCTTGCTACCTCTACTGGATAATACTGGTGTAGGGGGAATATGTGTTTCCCAGTAGATGTTTTGTGGGCTCTCTCCATTCCTGGAGAAGCCCGCATTCTCTCGTGAGCGCAATACACTCATTCATTCTCTCCACTCGTTCCCACTACCTCGCTCTTCTCCCCTTCAATACCTCCACAAAAAATCTGTTCTACTTCTAAAAAAAAAAAATAATAAGGTGTTTTGTGTCATCATTTTCGGGGGCTTCTTTCCCACCCCTACCCCCAGGTTAGGGTGACATTCTTGCTTTCAGTCAAATGCAGAAAAGGAGAAACTCTCTCAAGTTCCTCCAGGTGCAAATTGCCGTGTGTTAAATTTTCTCTCCCCTCTCCCTCTTCCCCTTACTGATGTTCAGGGGTGGTCAAGTTACTAAAAATACATTTAAAAAGCTATAAAGGATTACCCATTTTGACTCTTGCTTCTGACTGCAATTTCATGTAGCAGGATACCACCCACTCCCTGGCAGAAATTCTGCTAGTTTTTCAGTGTGGGCTTATTATTAGAGGATAGGGCAGTATGACCGGGACATGATCCCAATTGCTGAGGGGTTTTTTTTTTTTCATTCCTTCATTTTGCATCTGAGACCAGAGCCCCTTTCTTTTTATCCTCCTGATTAAAGCCTGTCACCTCTCAACCCTCACTCTATCATGCTACCGAAGTAGTTCTAAATCTGCCTTTTTCCCTCTTTTCTTGCAAATTTCCTGCAGCTTGCGCGACATGGCAAAGACCTCTCCAGAAAGTTCTTGCAGCTGAACATGTGTGGCCTTGGCAGGTAACAGCCATGAGTCAAGACCAGGGCGGGACAATTTCCCGGGTGATGGGAACAAGACTGCTCCGACCTGCAGACGCTCGGGATTTATTTTAAATAAAGATTCTAGCTGTAAGATTCTACCTCTGTTGAGAGTTTCCCTCTAGAGGATGGGGGGATGGGAAGGTGGGAGGGATACTGGGGTCATTGGTGGCGGAGAATGGGCACTGGTGGAGGGATGAGTACTCCCATCATTGTATAACTGAAACCCAAGCACAAAAATTCGTAAGTCTACAACTATACCTCATGGTGTTTCACTAATAAAAATTAAAAAAAAAAAAAAAAAAAAGAGTTTCCCTCTAGAATGAAATAACGCTAGTATTGACCACGGGTCCGAAAACAGTTTCTCCTCTTAGTTGCTTTCCTTGATTGTTCATGGAACTGAAAGAAAAGAATATTGCGGGAGGAAAAGAATGAAAGTTGAATGTGCGCTTAAGGCACGCGCTGAGCCCATTTTCTTTTTTTTGCATTTTTCTTTTTCTTAACGTTTCATAACTTTTTGACCTTTTTGCATTTTTTCAACCTTAGTAGCTTTCACCACATCAGGCCCCAGCGCAAAAAGAAACAAAAACAAACCAGCCGTGCAAAATGTAAGCAAATTTGGTGCATTGAAAGATACCACAGTATAACTATTTCTTTTCTCAATCTAAGGGGATAGGGAGACACAGGGAATCTATCGGTTTCCGTAGTGTAGCGGTTATCACGTTCGCCTCACACGCGAAAGGTCCCCGGTTCGATCCCGGGCGGAAACATTCAAACATTTTCCGTGAGTTTTGTGGGGATGCGGTGGAAAAAGTAATTTTTTTACTCACCTATTTTATTCCCGAAGGTAGACCATCACTTCAAAGTCAAGGGAGCAGAGTACACAACAGTAATTGTCTTCCCTCTCGGTGTGCAGGGGTCTGGGATTTTACGAGTTATAAATTCAGAATTAAAAATAAGTAGGCAAATTCAGAATTGAAAGTCTTCGGTGAGGCTTCTCCCACACAAAGCGCAAAAGAGCCTTGCGTTGGCCGGGAATCGAACCCGGGTCAACTGCTTGGAAGGCAGCTATGCTAACCACTATACCACCAACGCGGCGGCGGATGCCTCGCGCTCTCTGGAGCCCTTAGCCGCGAGTCAATCAGTGCCGCCGCCTGGGCGACACCAAACCTCGCGAGGAGTTCCTTCCCTCCGGCCGACCCGCGAGCCAGGAGCGGCGCGCCCCGCGCCCCCCGCCGCCAGTGCGCCTTGGTGCCGGCCGGCCGGCAGCCAATCACGGGCCGCCGCCTGGGCCGCTCGACTTCCGGGTCAAAGGGGTCTGGAGCCGCGGATTCCCCCGTGTCCGCTGGCGCCGCTGTCCCCCCGCGCCCGCCGCTTCCGGGGTTGCTGTCCGGGCCATGGAGCCGCGCGCGTGAGGCCCCGCCGGCCCCGGGACCGCCCTGCCCAGCGCGGCCGCCGCCCCGCGGAGACGCCGGTGAGCAGCAGCGACCCCGCGCCCCGTCCCGCCGTCGGGCCGCCACCCCGGGCCGCCTCCCGGACTGCCCCTGCCTCGGGCGACGTGTCCCCCGCCGCCCCAGGGCCAGCCCCGGCCCCCGGCGCGGGCCCTCCGCGATGCTGACCGCGCCCACGAGCCTGGGCCCCGCGCCCGTCTCCGCGGCCCGAGTCCCCGTCCCCGCGGGGCTGGTCCTCGCCAGCGGCCACCCACATCCCCACATCCGCCCCGGGGCGGGGAGGAGACCTGCCCTGGACTCCGCTTCCCTCCCAGCGTTGCCGGCCGTCCTCTTCCTGCCGCCCCCACCCCACAGTCCGCAGCGGCGGGGACCTCTCAGCTATGCCCTGCGACCCCCTGCGTCCCGTTAGACTCCGCAGCAGTGCCCTGCGAACACCCCCACCCCCGCGTCCCATCAGACGCCGCAGCAATGTCCAGCGACCCCCCGCGTCCCATCAGACCCACAGCAGTGTCCTGCCACCCTCCCCCATCCCATCAGACTTCGTAGCAGTGCTCTGCGACCCCCGCATCCCATCAGACTCTGCAGCAGTGTCCTGCTACCCCCCCCCCCCCCCACATCCCATTAACTCAACATCGAGTCCCACCCGGCTCTTGTCCCCGCACCTCGCCACCGCAGCGCGGTGCGGGAAAAGTCGTCCTGGTCTCCCACACCCTGGCAAGAACCAACTTGCTTTCGAGGAGTTGGCTCGGGACTGTGTGAGCTGAGGGCTGGTCCCGGAGGAGGTGGTTCGGTTCTTTTCTTCCCCGTCCCGGTGTAGCGGGGGCCCATCTGTGTAAATTGGGCGTGGGCGTCATCACTGCACCCCACCCGCAGGTTGGCCCCCAGCACCGCCTCAGAACCCTGAGGATTCCCGCGTCCCGATCCTGGGTCCTCCTTAACCTCCGCCTTCTCTCCCTGTCCCCCGTCAGAGGTTTGCGCGCCTGCGGCAGTGCATGGAGGCCTTCTGGACCCTGTGAAAGGTCAGTAGTGCCAGTCTGGGCACTGGGGGTCAGATCCCCTGACCTGCAGCTGGAGATGGAAATTGACAGGACACTGGAGTGGAGGAGGGCCACTGAGCCAAGGATGGTGGAACCTGTCCCTGGCGCCAGCTTTGGACCCTGGAGCTGAGGACTGAGGAAACACAGGAAGACTTTGGGGGGGGGGGGGGGGCGGGAGCACTCCCCAGGCACTATCCTGGCTCCCCTAAACAGTGACCCCAGGCACTATCCTGGCTCCCCTAAACAGTGGGGGAGGGGGGGCTGGTGCGAATTCTGGTCCCAAAGGGAATGTGAGTGCAGCGATCAGCTTTACGGGGCTGATCTCGCGTTCTCTCTTCTTTCTTTTTTCTTTCCTTCTTCCTTTATTTTTTTTTGGGGGGGGGGGCTTTTTTTGGGTCACACCCGCCAAGGCACAGGGGTTACTTCTGGCTCATGCACTCAGGAATTACTCCTGGCAGTGCTTGGGGGACCATGTGGGATGCTGGGAATCGAACCTGGGTTGGCCGCGTGCAAGGCAAACGCCTTGCCCACAGTGCTATCACTCCAGCCCCTCTTTCTTTCTTTTTCTTTCCTTCTTCCTTTCTTTCTTTCTTTCTTTCTCTCATTTTAAGGACCACAGTTGCCTGTGTCCTCAGAGGACCCTAGTGAGGCTTGGGGGTGTCCTCTGATGTCCAGTAGAGCCAGCGCCTTCACTCCGTGCTGTCTCTCCACCCCAGGGTGGGGTTTGAAACTCCGTGACAGCGTGTCAGCTGTCGGGGTTCTTAAGTCCAGGGCCCTCCTGTAAGCTCCTTCCTATAGCCCTGGGCGGGGGTGCTGGGGTTGTCCCAGGCACAACTGAGGACATCCAGGCCCAGAGAGGCTGTGAGGGTCCCCTGGGGTGACCCAGCCCAGAAGTGACAGAGCCTGGCTCCGAGATCCCCAGCCCCCTCCTGCTCACCCCAGCTCTCTGCTGCTCTGGGGGGTGGCAGCCTGCCTCCCTGCTTCCGGCTGATCTTTGTCCCAGGACCAAGGGCTCCCTTCGCCTTATCTGGAATCCTCCAGGGCGCCTGCCTGCCCTGGGGCGAGGCTGCAGAAAGGTGGGTGGGTGCTGTGCATCCTCCTTGGGTTCCCGGGACCTCCGGTGTTGCCCCCTACAGCCCCCCCACCTGGAAGGAAAGGGCTTGGTTTGTTCCTCTGGGCAGCTTTGCACTGAGCAGGGGCAGATACCCCATTAGCCCCTCGGGTGCCCATCCTTGCGCCCCAGGCCTCTTTGGGGCAGGACCATTCTTGGGGGGTGGGAGGCAGAGCTCTGTCTTCACCAACCCCAGATGCCCGGGGCTTGTTCCCAGTGCCCCGAGCCAGGCAGTCATTCCTGTGTTCTGTCAAGCTCAGAGCTGGGGCCCTGAGGCTAGCCGCGCCTGGAGCCACCCACTGGCTAGGGGCCGGGAAGTGGAGGGGCGCACCCCGATTCTCACCCTCTGTGCCCTCTTGGCTTGATTTTCCCAGCCGGCCACCGAGAACCTGTGGTTCCAATTCAGCTGCCTCCCCCACCCCCTCGGAGATCATTCTCTCCAGGGGTCACAGCCTGTCCTGGACGCTTTGGGGTGTGCACCGGCCCCCTTGGCCCCCACCTGCTCGCGCCAGAAGCCCCCAGAGACCCACGGGGCGGGGGGAGCATATCAGCCCAGCAGCAGCTCGAGCAGGGTGCAGGAGATGCCTCGAGGGGCTCTGGCCCCTCTCTGCCTGTGGGGCCCCCTGTCTGAACCCCAGCACCCGCCACCTGGTCCTGTCCCCGCCACCTCCCTTGTCCTATGGAGTGTGTCCCCAAAACAAAAGCAGGAGGGCGTCCTGGCCAAGGGGCTGATGGGTCAGGCCTGCAGGGGGGTCCCCTGCCTCCCCCAAGTCACGCCACCCCCTCCCCCACCCATGTCCTGTGGGTGACCCTGGAGGTCACTTGAAATCACATCTTCTTGGCCGGAACTGGGAGATCAGGCAATTCCCTGCCCAACCGTCTCTTGGCACTGGGTGTTCGCCGCAGGCTGGATGGGGGGACAGGTGGCTGCAGCTCGCTGACCCTCACTGTCCCTCCCCATCCCTCCCTCGCAGGCCCCGGCCCCCACCCCGCTCCCCCAAGGCTGCCGAGCAGTTAATGCGGCACGTTAAGAAGCTGCGTCTGGATCAGGACTCAGGGAGTTGGGACAGGTGAGGGGGCCTGTGGGGGGCGTGGGGAGCTGGTGCAGGGGCCTGCGTGTCCCCAGTGCTGACTCCTGGGGTGGCCCTGGCGCCCCCTGGCTTTGGGGTTTCGGGGTGTGGGTCCAGGGAAGGGCACTGACCCCTGGAGCATCAGGGCCCCACCGCTCTGTGCCCCCCACACACTCCCGCGGCCAGCTGCACCCTTCCCCAAGCCGAGGTGCCTGTGCACAGGTGCCGGCCCCCGGCCGAGCCCCGCTGCCCTGGATCGGGCGTGAGTCTGGGCACTAGGAGATCGGGCAGCCCCTGCCTCTTGGGCTGGCGCCCAGCAGTTCCTCTGTGAGCCTGCTTCCCGGACGGGGGTGCCGGGGAGGATGAGCCGACACCCCATGCCAGGCCTGGTTCTGGGCGAGTTCCCGCGCCGGGTGGAGGCGGGCGCGCCCGGGCTCGTTGGCACCCCGGCAGCCAGCACACAAGCAGGCTGGGTGGAGACGGACACCCCAGTTGCTTCCCCTGACTCAGGTCCTGGAAATGGGCAGTTCCTGGTGCAGCAGCTTGGAGGGAGCATCTTAGTCTCCCTTGGGGCACACGAGGTCCTGGGTGGGTGGAGGCTGGAACTGTCCTCCTGGAGAAACACCACACAGATACATACTAGGTGCCGTTTCCTGCGGCACCCACTTCCTTTTCTTGCTGAGAGAGAGAGAGAGAATGTGTGTGTGTGTGTGTGTGTGTGTGTGTGTGTGTGTGTCTGTGTGTGTGTCTGTGTGTGTGTCTGTGTTTGTGTGTGTGTCTGTGTGTGTGTACACTGTCCTCCTGGGGAAACACCACACAGACATATACTAGGTGCTGTTTCCTCCTGCATCCACTTCCTTTTCTTGCTCTGTGTGTGTCTGCGTGTGTGTTTGTGTCTGTGTCCGTCCTCAGTCACCTTGATCACGCTAGACCTGCACGTGGATTTGAGCGCCCACCATTCCCTCTGGCTTTCTGGGGACCTGTGACTTGTGCCACAGCCACGGCTTGGGGGTAGGTGGGGGTGCCGTCAAGGCAGGGAGCTGTAGCTCGGAGGGAAGTCCACGTAGGCCTGGACAGGGGCAGCAGCAGGAAGGCCCAGCAGCTGGCCGCTGGCGTCACCCGTTGGCAGAAGGACGGTGTAGGTGGACCTGGCCTAAGCAGCTCGGAATCCGCTTTGTTCCCCAGCTGTGTAAACTCTTGACTCAAGCCCCGCACGCGGAGGCAGGCACAGAGCCGCGCGGGCCAGTGCAGGCTCGCAGCCGGGCTGTGCACCAGCCGGCCACCTGTCCTCCTCTTCCTCCTCTCCCTCCTCCTCTGCCGCCTCCTCCTCCTCCTCCTGCTCCCCCCCTCCTCCCCTTCGTCCCCTCTCCTGGCCGGCCTTGGGGGAGGAGCCGGCCCCAGGCTGACTTGTGGGGAGCTGGGCGGCCCAGCCATAGCGCCGATTCCTCGAAAGGCCCTTTCCAATGCTCCACGTCGCCTGCCACCTCCTGGGCCGGCTCTTCGCCCCCTGGGCGCCCTGCGTGGATCAGAGGCAAGCTCCCCTGCATGACCTTCCCCAGGAACCGGGAGCGGCTGGCGCAGGGAGGGTATCTCTGGGGGGGCCATGAACTTTGGGGGGACCCGCAGCGGAGGGCCCTGAGGCTCCCTGTTGGTTCCGTAGGGGGGAGGAGGGTCAGGCTGGTGACGGAGGCTCGTTCCCCATTTCTGGGCGCCCTGCCAGCAGCTCTGGGGGCCCTGGAGGTTGGGGATCCCTGCCCACCCTGTGCTGGCAGGGACTCCACCCAGCCCAACCCTGCTTTAGCCACTAGGAGGTCACATGCGCAACCCCCGCAAGGTGCCCTGCTGGCCCTCCCTGGGTTGGAGGGCAGGCGCCCTGCTCTCTGCTTCCTTCCTTCTCCTGCCCCACTCCAGGCGGCCGGGCCGGGCCTTCCCACAGGCGCCCGCTCCCTCCTGCCCTGGACCTCTGCTTCTAAGAGCCTGAACCTTCGGGAGGCAGGCGGAAAGCCCGTGTGTGTGTGTGTCTGTGTGTGTGTCTGTGTCTGTCCGTCTATCCGTCTGTCTGTGTTGGGGGTAGCCCTACCCACTCTGTGACCCCTACCCCCAGTGACTTGCAGCTCTCAGGGCTGCCCCCACACCTCCACAGCAGCTCACCACGGCCGCGTTTGTAGATTTTCTCAGAGCAAATATTTGCCGATTAGCCCAGCCAAGAAGGTGCTCAGCAGGGAGCGCGGCGGGGATTGGGGGGCCCCAGTTTCCGGGGGCCGGGAGGCGGGGGGTGCAGGAGGGAGCTGCTCATGCAGCTTCACCTCCCGCCCCGAGTCCCCAGTGCCCCCGTGCCCAGCTCTCTGGAAGGGATCCGTCACCTCCGCCCTGTGCCCCAGGCCCCGTGTGGTTTAGGGGACCCCAGCACGCACCGAGCATGGGGTGGGGGATGGAATCTTGCAGCCGCCGTCCAGCCCCTTGCACCAGAGGTGGCGACCAGGGGTCCCAGGAGCTGATGGGGGCCTCGGAGCGATCGCCTTGTACGAGGCCGTCCCAGGTTCCGTCACCTTCACCCCAGGGGTTCCCCTGAGCCCCACCAGGAATGATCTAATGAGAGCAGAGCTGGACCTCCACTTGGTCAGCGCTACCGTGTGTGGCCCAAAAGCAAAACAAAGGGGGTCCTGGGTTGGGGAGGAGAGTCGGCCTGACCCTCTGGGCATTCCTCACAGATCTGGGGGTGCCTTCCCTGGAGCTGAGTCACAGGGTCGCGCAGCTGTGATGTCGTTCCAGGGAGGTGATGGTTCCCACAGTGGGGAGCCTTGGGGATGGCGACAGGGACTGGCCGTCCCAGAGGGGAGGCCCTCGGTAGCCATTGCCCCCAGCCCCCCACTTGCCCCCTGCCCCAGGCCGATGGAGGGGTGGCTGGGCCCGGGTGCGCAGAGAGAAGCAGGGGCTGCTGCTCTCCTCACCGCCTACCCCGTCCCTTCCGACCCGCAGCTTCTCTCTGGACGCCGAGGGCCAGGACCGGGCAAGGATGGCCGCCGGGGAGCCTGGCGCCACGGTGGCCATGGAGGAGCCGTCGGCCCGCTTCCAGGTGCCCAAGCGCTCGTGGGAGGAGCTGCGGACCATCATCCACGGCAGCCGCAAGAACTCGGGGCTCATCGTCAACAAGGCACCCCACGACTTCCAGTTCGTGCAGAAGACGGACGAGACGGGCCCCCACTCACACCGCCTGTACTACCTGGGTAAGGCCGGGGCTTGGCCCCTCCGGGCGGGTGAGCAGAACAGCGGGCTGGGCCAAGGGCAGGCTGGGGCCCAGCCCAGGGTCAGCCGGGACCGTCCAGCACCCTCCACTCACCCCCAGTTGGCGCCACCCGCCTGGTTATCGTGGGTGACCCCCCACCATTCTTTTTATTTTATTTTTTTTTTTTTTGGTCACATGCAGCGATGCTCAGGGGTTACTCCTGGCGGTGCTCGGGGGACCATATGGGATGCCAGGGATTGAACCCGGGTCGGCCGTGTGCAAGGCAAATGCCCTACCCGTTGGACTATCGCTCTGGCCTTGATCCCCGCCATTCTTGCCACAGCCTGGCGCTGAGCAAGGTGTGAAACTACCCAAGGGACAGGACCGCCTGTTGACTGGCCTGACCCCGGTGCCCGGGCAGGGGGTTCCCCATAGCACAAGCCCCGTTGCAAGCCCCCACCCCCCTTTGCCACAGCGAGGGCATCTTCCGGTGGTGGCTCAGGCTCCCAGTGGGCCAGTGGGGTCCAGTGAGAGCAGAGCCAGACCCCCCCTTGGTCAGCTGGCCCCTTCCTTCAGACCCCGAGGGGGCAAGGGCCACTTCACATCACGTGGGCGGCGGTGGGCACAGAATCAGGGGTCCAGCCCCAGGCTGGCCGGTGCAATCCCCGGGGCCTTCTTCCCACCCTCCAGCCCTCGTGGAAGACAGATGGTAGGTGGGCGTGTCAGGGTCAGGATGCAGAACGTTCTAGAACAGGTCAGCAGGCGGCTGGCCCTGGCGCATCGCCCGCTGCCGTCTCCCTCCCGCCTGGGGCTGCTCTCCAGCGCTCCTGCTTACAACAGAGATGAGAGACGCCGCGGCCACACTGTTTACCCTCTGCCCCAGGCAGGAAGGCGTTTGCCAACTCTGCTCTCCGCGGGCTGGGCCGGACACGCTTCCGCTCCGCAGAGCCGGGGCCTGGCTCGGTTCTTGGGACTGAGGGGGGCCACGGAGTGTGGGTTCTGGTGGCCGACCTCATTCTCGCCCCCCTCTCCTGCCCCCTGGATCCGTGACCCGCCCACCCAGCACCACCTCCCGGGGGCTCCTGGGCTCGGGTTGAGGGGGTCGTTGCCGTCAGGCTTTATGTCTTGACACCCCTGCGACTGCCGCCGCTGCCACACTGGCCACCAGCCCCAACCACGGCTCTGACCACTGGCCGGTTCTGCTCTGGGCTTCTTGTGCTTCTTGTGTTTTGTTTGTTTGTTTGGGTTCGGGGCCACACCCCGTGATGCTCAAAGGTTGTTCCTGGCCGTGCATGCACCCAGGAATTAGTCCTGGCAGTGCTCTAGGACCCTATGGGACGCCTGAAACCCAACACCCTCCCCGCTGGGCTCCGGCACCTGCGCTGTTTATTGCTTTTGGCATGTGGGCACCCTCCCCCAGGCAATGCTCAGGCTTACTTCTGGCTCTGCACTCGAGATCACTCCTGGTGGGTCTCCCGGGATCTTCACGGGGTGCTGGGGAGCAAAGCTGTCAACTGCGTGCAAGGCAAACTGCCCACTGTCCCGTCCTTTGGGCCCCAGCTTGGTGCTTTAGATAACAGGGCCTGGTGCTTGCACAGTTCTAGAACCTTCCGTTTTTCTAGGGCGTGGGCATCGTGCGCTTGAGGGACCGTCTGCTTCCTGCTTTGGTGGCCGCCGGCGCTTCTTGGCCCGCAGCCCGTCCCTCTGATCTCTGCCTCTGTCACTGCAGAGCCGCCTCTGCTATGGGAACACTCAGCTCCCTGTCACGGTGCATGGGTCCCTGTGTGCGCTGGCGGGATTACCCGGCTCACCTCCTGTTTGGAGCAGGAGTTAATCCCCTCTGCTGAGTCCCTCTGGCCACACGGCTGTGTTCGTTGGTCCCAAGGATTAGGACAGGGACATCTTGGGAACCACTGGCACAGGGCAGAAACCCCGACCGTCTGGGGCTGGAGCCAATATTACAGCAGGAGCGGATCACAGTGGGGTGGGCGTTTCCCTTGCTTAGAACCTGGGTTCGAGCCCTGGCGTCCTATATGGTCTCCAGCACCGCCAGCAAGATTCCTGAGCACAGAGGCAGGAATAACCCCTGACAGGAGTAACCCCTGAGCATCGCCAGGTGTGAGCCAAACCCCGACAGTCTGAGTCACGGGGGTGTCGGGGACCTGGGGCAGGCCCTCCCAGCACCCCGCCTTCAGACCTCCCCCACCACTGTGCCATGCAGGCCTGGGGAAGGGCAGCTGGACAAGAACCTGACAGAACCCCCTGGACCACTCTAGACCGACCTAGAAGCAGTGCTTCTCTTCCTGCTTCATTGCTAGTCCTGGGATGATCCTGTCCAGAGCCGCGGGGGTTGGGGTGGGTGCTGGGTGCAGGGTGTCATGGACATCAGTTCACATCCAGGCCCCCGGACACCCTAGTTTTCCCACTAGGTAGGGTGTCTCTTTTGACCTAGTGTCTTTGGATACTTATGGGGATTTTTTTATGGGGGAGGGAGGTTGTTTGGGGGCCACCCCCAGCCATGCTCAGGGCTTATTCCTGGCTCTGCTTTCAGTCATTACTCCAGGCCCTATACGGGACTCTGGGGACCAAACTCGTCTGGGTCGCGTGCAAGGCAAGCACCTGTCCCGCTGCGCGCTCTCCAGCCCCAAGCTGCTTTTCTTTGGGGGATCGCACCAGTAGTGCTTGGGCGCCAGTCCTGGTGGTGCTTGGGGGACAGAGCGGCGCCGGAGAGTAAAGCAGGGGCCCCCGTGTGCAGAGCGTGTACTGCAGCCCCTCGAGCTACCCCTCTAGCCCTTGTGCCCACCCCTGCCGCCGCAGGCCCCCTGAGGATGCTTTTCTAGACACGGTGCTCCGCACCCAGACTTTTCAGTGAACCGAGGCCACGCAGGCCACGCCCAGCTTTCCTGATTGGACACCCACCCTGGGCACAAAGTCAGGGCACAAAGAGCCAATGGTAGGGCCCTTGGGGAAGGGGCTGGAGCCTCGTTCTGACCGCAGCATCCTGTTGCACCCTGGGGGCCCTGCCCTGCTTCTGAGGGGGTCAAGAGGGCATCGGACTGCGGAGGATCCCAGGGTCCGACCATGACGGCAGGCATGGTGCTTGCATGGTCCTCGGAGTTGGGCCCCAGCTGGCCTGAGCGAGCAGGCCGAGCTGGGGTGCACTGGGCGGCCACAAGTGCCAGCTGCCACTATCCCCGGTGCCAAGGGTGGCCCAGCCAGGCTGTGCTGGTGGGTGGGAGCCACGAGGTGCCGTCAGTCACTTATTAATCAGCGGGCGGGCGGCAGCCCCGTGCCCTCGGCGAGCCCGTGCGGTGACTTCCCGCCCGGAGAGTGGGCTGGGGCCCCAGAGGACCCGGTGGACCGAGCACACACCCCGTTCTCCCGGGATGGCCCCGCTGCGCAACACCCTGACACTTGGTTCCTTTGGGTCTTTTTGTTTTGTTTTGTTTTCTGTTTTGCTATAGGAGAGGGTTTGGGGGCCACACCCGGTGGTGTGGGGCTGACTCCTGATGCTGTGCTTAGGGATCACCTCTGGTTGGCTCAAGGGACCCTCTGGGGTGTTGGGGATTGAACCCGGCTTGGCCACGTGCAAGGCTAGCGCCTTGGGCCCTGCCCTGATTCTGCCCGGTGAGACTGCAGGGGAGTAATCCAGGGGCCTGAGGCAGTTGGGCAGTTAGGGTGCATGTCTAGCACGGACCCAGCCCAGTGTCTTTCTCGCACCTCATGGCAGCCCAGGGCATGGGGGGGGGGGGCAGCCTTAGAGGCCCCCCGCATGGCCCGGGGCCCAAGCAGTATCCCCGCAGCCCCGTCACTCTCCACCCCCCTCCCTTCCTTGCGTCCTTCGTCCTTCGGGTCAAGCGCCCGCATCCCCGGTGGCAGCCCCGGGCTTCTCTGGAGAGGGGGACTGGCCGCCGGGGTGCCCACTCGGCTTCTCCCCGCCGCCCAGGTATGCCGTACGGCAGCCGCGAGAACTCCCTGCTCTACTCCGAGATCCCCAGGAAGGTGCGGAAGGAGGCGCTGCTCCTCTTGTCCTGGAAGCAGATGCTGGATCACTTCCAGGTGAGTCGCCTGGAAGCCGCCCGCAGGCTGTGGAGGGGGGGGGGGGGCACCTGTCCCCTGGCCCCGCCCTCTTCCGGACACCTGGTTAATAATTGCGCGGGGGAGGCTCAGGGTCCTGCACTTGCATTGGTTGGTGGGCTGGGGGGGGAGGTCGGGGGTTCCCCCAGCAGCTCCACCTCCTGCAGCTGCGGGTTTGGGAGTGTGGTGGCCGCCCCCTTCCCGTGGACCTGATTCCTGGCAGGAAGTGGCTGTGAAGGAGGCTAGAGGGAGGGGGCCGTAGGGCTGGCCCCCGCGCCCGGGAGGTACCCACTGTGGGTTAGGGGCGTCCAGTGTGGTTCCGAGACCGGGAGGCAGGCCCAAGGAGCCCCAGAAACGGACTCCTGCTGTGTTTCGAGGCCCCGGCCCCGCCCCCTCGCCCAGGCCCCCTCTGCCCCTCGGAGGGGCCTGTGAGAGGGAGTGGCATCCACCTGCCGCCACGTGCCCTCCCTCCCCGGCTGATGCCCACCCTCTGCCCCACCCCCAGGCCACGCCCCACCATGGGGTCTACTCCCGGGAGGAGGAGCTCCTGCGGGAGCGGAAGCGCTTGGGCGTCTTTGGTATCACCTCCTACGACTTCCACAGCGAGAGCGGCCTCTTCCTCTTCCAGGCCAGCAACAGCCTCTTCCACTGTCGAGATGGGGGCAAAAATGGCTTTATGGTGAGTGGGCGGGGCGGGCCAGTGGCGTTTTGGGGCCAGGGTTGGGTGCAAGAGTGAGTGGTGGTGGTGGTGGTGGAGGCGGGGCCAATGGAGCTGGGGCGGGGCCAGGGGAGTTTGGGGGCGGGGCCTGGATGCGGGGGTGTGACCCGTGGTTGTGGGGGTGGGCCACTGGAGCTTGGGGTGGGGGGGCTCGGGGTGTGCCCAGGGTGGGTTGCTTGGGGCCAGCCCCTGAGACTTGCTGTCTCCAGGTGTCCCCCATGAAGCCGCTGGAAATCAAGACCCAGTGCTCTGGGCCCCGCATGGACCCCAAGATCTGCCCCGCAGACCCCACCTTCTTCTCCTTCATCAACCACAGTGACCTCTGGGTGGCCAACATTGAGACGGGCGAGGAGCACAGGCTGACATACTGCCACCAAGGTGAGGCCCGGGAGGATCCCTTTGCCTTCCGCCTCTTCCTAAGGCCCCTGCCCACTGGACACCTTCCTGGACCCCACAGAGCCTGCGGGAGTCCTTGTCCTCCGAGCCAGATCGGACCTCTGCGTCTGTCGGCCCTGCCCCCTGCCCCGGCCTGTCCAGACATGTGTTCGTCCCTTGCTTCATTCCTACCCCGCTGGAGTCCCGTCCCCCCCCCAGGCCTCCCCTCCTCCTGAGTTGCCCCCCTTCCTGCTCATGGTGCCTGACACATACTGGATGGGGGGACATCGCAGGTGCCATGCCCCATCCTGGCATGTCCAGAGCAGCTCCTGCACCCAGAAAGCATGTGGGCCCCGGTGTCAGCATGCTGGGGGGAGAATCCTTGCCCCTGCTCTCATCTGGACCCCTTTCCCCAACCTTAGGCTTGTCCAACGTCCTTGAGGACCCCAAGTCTGCAGGTGTGGCCACCTTTGTCATCCAGGAAGAGTTTGACCGCTTCACTGGCTACTGGTGGTGCCCCACGGCCTCCTGCGAGGGTAGGTTCCACTGCCTGCTGGCTCTGAGTGCTCGTCACTGCCCAGGGACCCCTCCAGTCGCTCATGTCCACTTCCGTTCTGGCAGCTCAGCAGAACCGTAGTGTCGGGGTACCTCCACTCAGTGGGGCCTTGGTGTTTTGCAGATCTGGTGGGTTGGAGTCCAAGTTCAAGGCGTGGGCAGATCCAGCATTGGGCGGGCATCCCCCTCCTGGTCCCCAATCCTTAAAGGGCCTGTCCCTGTGTGGGGGCTCCTGTCTTCCGGTCACAGCCAGCTCCAGCCGGATGTAGATTCTCAGGGCCTGGCTTGCAGGGGGACCTCGCTGCCCCCACAAGTCACCTCCTGTGCCCGAACAGAATAGCACTTCCCCTTAAAGACCTGTCCCACTGAGCAGGGGGGTCACATAACCCAGAGGGAACCCCAGGGGCTTCACATCCTGTGAGGGGTCCCCAGTCCGTCTGGGCTCAGTGGTGGAATAGCCAGGAGCGAGGGTTCCGACCCTGGGGTCCCCATCTCCTTCACCCATCCCCCTCCCCCCAACACCCTCCCAGGTCCAGAAGGTGTCAAGACGCTGCGGATCCTGTACGAGGAAGTGGACGAGTCTGAGGTGGAGGTCATACACGTCCCTTCTCCCGCCTTGGAGGAGAGGAAGACAGACTCGTACCGATACCCGCGGACAGGTGAGGCCTGGCCCTGCAGCCCAGAAACGCCCCGGGGGCTCGGATGCCAGTGCCTTTCGTTTTGCGCCTTGGGCCCCGGAACTTGGGGGACCAGGATTCAGCCCGCGCTCCTTCCTGCAGGCAGCAAGAACCCCAAGATTGCCTTGAAACTGGCCGAGTTCCAGACTGACAGCCAGGGCAAGGTGAGGGGCCTGGCGCTGCACGGCAGGGGGCTGGCTGAGGCTGGGCTGGGGAGCAGGGGCTGTCTGTGGCACTCCAGCGTGCAGCCTGGGGTGGGGGTGGGGAGCCACAGTGCCCCCTTGCAGAGTGCTGTTCCCATCTGCTCCAGATCGTCTCCAGCCAGGAGAAGGAGCTGGTGCAGCCCTTCAGCGTGCTCTTCCCACGGGTGGAGTACATCGCCAGGGCCGGCTGGACCCAGGATGGAAAGTAGTAAGTCGCGGGGCCTGGGGCGGGCCAGGGGTGCTGGGGGATCACTTTGAGTTTTGGTGATTTGTCCGGGCTTGGCAGGAGGGCATCGGGGGGATCCAAAGAACCAGTGTGACAGACACAGCTGGATTTCCAGATGTTGAGGGCTGGTGTGATAGCACAGCAAGGAGGGCGCTGGCCTCGAATGTGGCTGACCCAGGTTCGATCCCCGGCATCCTGTAGGAGACTCCAAGTCCCACCAGGAGTGAGCCCGGAGTGCAGAGCCAGGAGTCAGCCCTGAGCATCCGCCATGTGTGGCCCCAGAAAACAAAACAGAATTAAACAGTCCACATGCTGGGTTTGGTCAAGAGCAGCCCCCACTGGGTGGAGGCAGGGTGGGACGCTCCCAGTCTCCACCCCCTTGGCACGTTTTCAACAAAGAGCCGCTGGCCTGAGGCAGGACACTCCAGAGTGGACCCCATAGAGCCACAGGGACCACACTCAGGGTGACATGCCAAGTGGGGGCCCCTGACCACAAGGGTCTGCAGAGACAGCGGGGGTGGCCACAGCCTGTCCCCTCAGCCTGACAAGGTCGCAGGCTGCTTAGTCCCCACGCAACCTTCCTGCCCCACACGTCCAACACGGACTGGGGTTCAGGCACGTGTCAGAACCCTCATCACCCCAACAGCAGGGCCATGCGGGGTGTGGCGGGGGGAACAGGGTGGGACACATCCCTTGTGTGTGCGTGAGACCCCAAGTTGCATCTCTGGCGCTATATACAGGCCCCCTCTGAGCCGCCCACCCCGCCCCCCCGCCGGACCACCTCAAATGCCCTGGCTGGTTGCCACGCTTTGCTAGGCTGCTCCCTCACCCCGTATTTCACCTCGAGCCCGAGGGGGAGGCCAGAGAGATGGTCCAAGGGTGACAGCGCTTGTTTTGCACGTGACGACCCCTCTCTGTCCCTGACTCTGCATAGGGTTCCTTGGGCCTTACTGGGAATAAATCCCGAGAACCCCGTGTCTCTCCCACATCCCCCCAACAAAAAACTAGGTGAAGTGCTGGCAGAGCTTTGGGATTCTGTTCGTTGTGTTGTTTTGATTTGGGGCCACACCCGGCGGTGCTCAGGGCTGACTCCTGGCTCTGTGCTCAGGGATCCCTCCTGGTGGGGCTCCAGGGACCCTACGGGGTGCCAGGGATCAAACCCTGGTTGGACCCAGGCAAGGCCAACACCCTCTCTGCTGCTCCAGGACTGTGCGATTCTGGGGTGCTTCCGGCCCCGTGGCCTCCCTCAAACCTTGGTCCATCCCAAAACTGGTGTGCGGGCAGGGTCCCCCGGGCAGTGCTCACAAGGCCAGATCCGGTGACCCGCCTGCACACCCCTCCCCACCTTCCCCCGCAGCGCCTGGGCCATGTTCCTGGACCGGCCCCAGCAGCGGCTACAGCTCGTGCTCCTGCCCCCGGCCCTGTTCATCCCCGTGACAGACAGCGAGGAGCAGCGGCACGCCTTTGCCAGGGCCGTGCCCAGCTCCGTCCAGCCCTACGTCATCTACGAGGAGGTCACCGACGTGTGGATCAACGTAAGGCCCCGGGGCCCCCCTCCCCCCCTCCCCCCCCTGACCCCCACCCCCGCCACCACGGCTGACGTGGCCGCTCCCGCCCGCAGGTGCACGACATCTTCTACCCCTTCCCCCAGCGGGACGGGGGCGACCGGCTGTGCTTCCTCCGCACCAACGAGTGTAAGACGGGCTTCTGCCACTTGTACAAGGTCACCGTCACGCTCACGCCCAGCGGCTACGACTGGACCCAGCCGCTGCACCCCAGGGAAGGTGAGCGGGCCCTGAGCCACCGGCCGGCGGGCAGGGCGCTGACTGTGCACGTGGCCCACCCAGGTTCCACCCCAGAGGGTGCCATGGGTCCCACCGGGAGGGATCCCTGAGCATCGCCCCAGAAATAGCCAGCAGCAGGCCGGGCCACGCACAGTGACAGGGGTGCGGGGGGCCGCTGCCCTGCCTTTCAGTGCTGCTCTGGACAATCAGGGGCATCGGCGAGGGCCTTGCTGGAAACATCTGCTTCTGCCCGGAGGTGGGCCGGAAGCGAAGGGGCACAGCCAGGGGGGCAGCCAGGCCGAGCCCCCACCTCCGGCCTCCCAAGGCCAGGAGAAGGCCAGGGGAGCCGTATGGATCCTGGCCTCGAGAGCGCGGGGGGTGGGGGTGCCTTGCCCAGCTCAACTCTGCTCGGCCTGCCTCCCGAAAGCCAGCCTCACCGGGGACGACCCTGCTGCGGTCGGAGGGCCACGTGGGGCCAGGCTGCTCTGGCGTCCTGCCACGGGCCCCGAGCCGTCCCTCCAACCCTCAGAGCTGGGTGCCAGCCCGTGGGCCGCTGCTGTCACTGACGTTGGGACCCGAAAGGGGCTGCGCCAGCAGGCAACACGCGGGCCTCCCCATGCAGCCCCTTCCCCGCAGTTCCCGAGAGGCCTGCGGTGGGTCCCCGCTCACCCCCTGCCCTCCCCTCTTCCCCCAGACGAGTTCAAGTGCCCCATCGAGGAGGAGGTGGCGCTGACCAGCGGCGAGTGGGAGGTGCTGGCCCGGCACGGCTCCAAGGTAGTGGCGCCCCACACACATGCACACACACGTATGCACACGGACGCACATAGGCACGCGTGTGTACATGTGCCGTTACGGGCACCAGCGTGTAGGCACCTACATGCATCAACTTTGACCCTGGCAGCGGCCCAGGGCTAGGGGTCTGGGCCTTGGAGTTCCCAACACCCCACCCACTCACACTGTGACCAGGGGTAGCCTGGTCACGCTCTCACGGACTCTTCTAGGCCTGTTCACCCCCAAGAGCACCACAGCCTTGGGTGTGACGGCCAGATGTCGGGGTGAGGGGAAGCGCCAGCTTTAAAGTGGTCTGGGCAGGAGTGGGGTGTGTGGAGCTATTGCACAGCTAGGAGGGCACTGGCCTTACACATGGCTGACCCAGGTTCAGACTCCAGCATCCCTCCCTCCACCCCCGCATTCCATAGGGTCCCCCAAGCCCCGCCAGGAGTTAGCCCTGAGCACTGCCAGGTGTGGCCCCAAGCCAAAATAAAATAAAGTGTCCTGGGAACCCAGCCCGTCCCCTGTGTCCCGTCCCCCGTGTCCTCCCTGAGCCCGTGCCTGCCTCCAGCCCCCTTCCTCACCTGGCTGAGCCCCGCGGAACCCCAGCACGGCTGCCCCACAGCCCGCAAATGGAGCTGTCTCGAGTCGCCCCAAGCACCCTGCCGCGTGCAGCCCTGGGGTCCCAGGGCTTCATCTTAGGGTGCCCTGGTCCCCACAGATCTGGGTGAACGAGGAGACGAAGCTTGTGTACTTCCAAGGCACGAAGGACACGCCCCTGGAGCAGCACCTCTATGTGGTCAGCTACGAGGAGGCCGGCGAGATCGTGCGTCTGACCACGCCTGGCTTCTCCCACAGCTGCTCCATGAGCCAGGTGGGCCCCTGCCACCTCAAAACCCTTGGGAGCATCGAGCCGCAGCTGCACCCAGGGTGACCTGCCAGGCCGGTGCAGGTGCGCCTTCCCGGCCTGTCAGACCAGCCCGATGAGCGGCCGTTGCTCTGCCAGGCAGCCTGCCTGGGCCGCGTGAGGCCCCGGGCCCCAGCCCTGACACGGAGGAAAGATTGGGTCGGAGTGACAGGACCAGCCAACCCAGGTCAACCCCCGTTGTCCGTAGGGTCCCCTGAGCACGACCAGGAGTGATCCCTGAGTGCAGAGCCAGGATAAGCCCCGAGCACTGCAGGCTGCTTGGTGGCCCATAAACAAAACATAAATAACAATAAAAAAAAAAAAATGGGAAGTGGAAAAAGTATAAGAAAGTGAGCCGAAAAGATCCGACAGCAGGGAAGGTGCTGGCCTTGCACACGGCTGACCCGGGTTTGATCCCCAGCACCCCTTAGGGAACCCAGACACTGCCCGGAGTGATCCCTGAGCACCTCCAGGCGTGGCCCAGATGCCAAGAAACGGAAAGGAGGAGCGAGCTAAACCAGTGGGCACTGGGTGGGCCTGAGTGTAACCCGGGCTCCCTCGTCTGGTCACTCCCCCTAGAGACCCCAGAGTGGGCCCCCAGCTTCCCAAGCCTCCGTTTGCCCGCCTGTAAAACAGCACGGGCAGGCTGTCTGTTTGCCAGTCTGGGGTGGTGGTGACAGCCGTCATGGTAGAGATCTGGGCTCCAGCGAGTGAAGGGCACCGGTGCTTGCCTGGAGTTGGGGGTCAGAGGTGCGTTGCTGACCTTGCTCGGTGCTCAGCCCTCCCCTCCCCCGTGTCCCCCAGAACTTCGACATGTTCATCAGTCACTACAGCAGTGTGAGCACGCCGCCTTGCGTGCACGTGTACAAGCTGAGCGGCCCTGACAGCGACCCCCTGCACAAGCAGCCCCGCTTCTGGGCCAGCATGATGGAGGCAGCCAGTGAGTAATGCCCCTGTACCCCCTCCACCCCAGGCTCCAGCCACCTCTTCCAGGCAGGACCCCAGGCTTGCCTGCGGGGGAGGGGGGGGGGGGCGGCTCAGCATCATCGTGAAACACCACTGTGGAGAAGAGGCTGCCCCAGGGGTCCAGAGAGCCAGTGAAAGAGGGGGGCTGGTATTGGTCTCTCCCCCAACAGGGCTGCTAGAGGGTCTTTGAGAAAGGCCAGACTTTGGGGAACAAAAAGCTGTGGCTGTCTGCTGGGGGCCTGAAAGGCTCAGCAAGATGGCACCCCAGGCCCCCACTTTCTCCCCCCAGCCTTGACCCAACCCTGCCCATGTCTGGAGTGTGTCCCAGAGTTGTGGACTTGATTTCCTGGCATCTGAGGGGTGGGGATAGGTGACCTTTTTTTTTTTTTTTTTTTTTTTTGCTTTTTGGGTCACACCCAGTGATGCACAGGGGTTACTCCTGGCTCATGCATTCAGGAATTACTCCTGGCGGTGCTCGGGGGACCATATGGGATGCTGGGAATTGAAGCTGGGTCGGCTACATGAAGACAAATGCCCTACCCGCTGTGCTATTGCTCCAGTACCTAGGTGGCCTTTTTTTTTTTTCTCCTGGGTTTTGGGTCACATGTGGCCATGCACAGGGCTTATGCCTGGCTCAGGGATCACTCCTGGCCGTGTTTGCGGGACGATGTGTGAAGCCGGGGATGGACCCTGGGTCAACCATGTGCAAGGCCAGCGCCCTCCCCACTGTGCTCCTGCCCGCTAGGTGGAATTTTGTGTGATCCCGCACCCCCTTTCTCACCCCTAAGAGTCAATGTCGGGAAAGGCCAGTGTCCAGGGGTCCGACCCAGGGTCCCCTGAGGACAGATCTGGGGAATCTGAGCGGTTCCTGCACTGCACGGGACAGGGCACTGATCCAGGAACTCAGGTGCTGACTGGCAACACGTGACGAGCCTGGGACTGTTCCAGGACTTGGGGTACCCCCTTAGTGCTGCAGCAGCCTGGCTGGGCAGTTCCGCCTCAGATGTCCGCGGGGCCACCTTGGGTCCCCGACGACTGTGTCCGAGAGCCAGTCATGTCTTTTCTTTTGGGGTGGGTCACAGTACTTTCAGGGGTTACTCCTGGCTCTGCGCTCAGGAATTTTTCTTGGCGGACTCGGGGGACCCTATGGGTTGCCGGGGATTCGACCCAGGTTGGCTGTGTGCAAGGCTAACACCCTCCCTTCTGTGCTATCCCTCCAGGGGCCCTCTCCCCTGCCGCTTCTTTTTCCTGCTTATGTTTACTGGCTGTGTGGCTGGGGTTCAGGCACTTGGCTTTGCCCGGGGTAACTCAGGGTCCCAAGTGCCACCCAGTGTGGCCTTCCCCCTCCCCAAGTTACCTGCAATAGAGCCATTCCACTGGGGTCAGCAGAAAACCAGAAGCTTGGGCAGAAGCGAGAGGACAGTAGTGAGGGCGTTTGCCTTGCGTGTGCCTGATCCAGGTTCGATCCCCGACATCCCGCAGAGGCCCCTGAGCACGACCAGGAGGGATTCCTGAGTGCAGAGTCAGGAGTAAACCCTGAGTATCACCAGGTCTAACCCTAAAAGTGGAAAAAGCAAATCCAAAGCACTGGGCGATGCCTGGTGACCTTCACAGCGAGGGACAGGGCATGCCGACAGTCGGAATAGCCAAAAGCTAACTGCACCCCAGATTTCTGGTCAGCCCTGTTAAGAGTCCAGCAACCCCGAGGAGGCAGAGAGCCAGTCCGGGTCCCAGCAGGCCCTCTCGTCTCCCACAGGCTGCCCACCTGACTATGTGCCCCCCGAAATCTTCCACTTCCACACGCAGTCGGCCGTGCGGCTCTACGGCATGGTGTACAAGCCGCACTCAGTGCATCCAGGCAGGAAGCACCCCACAGTCCTCTTCGTGTATGGGGGACCCCAGGTGCGTGCCATCCCACCCCACCCCCCTGCCCTTGAACAGTGCCCCTCCTCTTCCTGCGTTTCCAGTTCTCTGTCACTCTAGGTGACCCCCTGGTGCCCCGCCTAGCTGGCCCGGCCTCCAAGAAGGGCCACGGGCTGGGGGCCTCCTGGAGCAAGGTGGGACTGGGATGCCCCCCACCTGCCAAACCCGGAAGCACATCCAAGGCTCAGCCAGCCTGTGGATGTTACCAGGGTCCTGGGAACACACACGCCCCCAGAGCATGGTCAGCCCCTAGATATTACCAGGGTCCTGGGGGGAGCTGGTCTAGCTCACTCGGGGAGGTCGTGACCCCCCTCCCCCAGCCTCCGCAGGGCCTGCTCTGACCCACATCTCCCCGGGGTGTCGGGTCTGGGGTGATTGGTCATTCATTCCAAGCTCAAGCCCGAGGGCTTCCTGCTGCCTCCACAGTCTGGGTCAGGCCCCCACATTGGGCCGAAGCCCCTCAGCCCAGCAGCCTGTCCTCCCCTGGCACCCACAGGTCCAGCTGGTCAACAACTCCTTCAAGGGGATTAAGTACCTCCGGCTCAGCACGCTGGCCTCGCTGGGTTACGCCGTGGTGGTCATCGACGGCCGTGGCTCCTGCCAGCGCGGGCTGCGCTTCGAGGGCGCCCTGAAGAACCAGATGGTAACGTGGGGTCCTCCGGACCGGGGCAGGAGCCACTGCCTCTGCCTCCCGGCTGCACCCCACAGGCAGAAGGGGGTGTGCCCTGCCCCCTGCCGCAGCAGACTCGACCTGGCCAGGGCAGGAGGAGGGGCGTGGCAGGGGCGAGGATGGTCTGGAGGAGACAGGAGGAGGGTCAGAAGGAGAGGGGACAGTTTGGGGAAGACGGGACGATTGGGGGAGGAGCAGAGGAGAGGACAGAGGGACTGGGAGGAGGGGAGGATGGTCAGGGAGGACGGCCGTGGTGGTGGGGGTGAGGGAGGCGACCGGGGCGCCCCCCTACCCAGTGCTGGAGTACAGGCCGGTCCCCGCACCATCCTGGCCCTTGAGCCCTGTGAAATGGGCCTGTCCGCCGTTGGTGCAGCTGATCTGGGTTGGAGCCCCGGCACCCCCTCGGGTCTGCCGAGTGATCCCTGAGGAGTGATCCCTGAGCTCAGAGCCGGGAGTGAGCCCGAGCCGGGCAGGGTATGGGGGCCCTCCCAGCCCCCCCCCCCCAACCCTGTGGGACGCCCGTACCTTCAGAGATGAGGCGAAGAGGGGGTTGGGGCCCAGAGCACTGAGGCGCCCACTCGCCTCCAGGGCCAGGTGGAGATCGAGGACCAGGTGGAGGGGCTGCACTTCGTGGCCGAGAAGTACGGCTTCATCGACCTGGGCCGCGTGGCCATCCACGGCTGGTCGTACGGTGGCTTCCTCTCGCTCATGGGGCTCATTCACAAGCCGCAGGTGTTCAAGGTGGGTCCTGCCCGCGACCCCTCGGAGCCCGCGGCACCCCACCCAGCCCCGGGGAGGGGGGGGGGCGCCTCTCAGCAGGGGGTCTTGCCACGTGGCTATTTCTCCCCGCAGCAGCCCCATGGGGCCGAGCCCCCCTCCTCATTGCCCGCCACTGCTGACCCCAGGATGGCATCCGGCTGTGCAAAACCCCGCCAGCAGCTCTGTGTGGGAGGCTGAGCCCGGGACCCCGGCCTCGGATGGGCAGAGGTGGGGTACGGTGTGCAGAGCGTCGGGGGAGGGGCCCCCAGGCCGGCGGCACTGTCCAGGCACGGCGGGCGGCGATGAGGAGGAGGAGGAGGCAGGAAGGCCACGGGGCCAGGGGAAGGGCCCCTCCCTGCCAGCGTGCCCCCACCCCGCCCCCTGCATGCCCGCTCTTCCCATGCTCCCAGGGAGGCCCCAGGGCAGCTGGCCCAGCATCGGCTCTGGGCAGCTGACCAGTCCGTGTGTGTCTCTCTCTCCGCCCCCGTCTGTCCACTGCCCTCTCCCTAGGTGGCCATAGCAGGCGCCCCAGTCACCGTCTGGATGGCCTACGACACGGGGTACACGGAGCGCTACATGGACGTCCCGGAGAACAACCAGCTGGGCTATGAGGCGGGCTCCGTGGCCCTGCACGTGGAGAAGCTGCCCAACGAGTAAGCCCCGGAGAGCCGGAGGGAAGAATCCAGAATCTTTGCACTGGGCTGTCCCGTATGCCCTTGGATACACTGGGTTTATTTTTTTATTTTATCTTTTTAGCATCACACCCAGTGGTGTTCAGGGCGACTCCTGGCTGTGTGCTCAGGGGATCCTATGGGGTGCCAGGGATCAAACCCAGGTTGAGCACAAGGAGGGCAAGTGCCCTCCCCTGTGTACTGTCTCTGCCCCACGGTCATGTGGCTACACAGGTACTTAGGGGGTCCTACATCTGGGGGTGCAGGGTGGTCTGTGCCCTTAGCAGTTGTTTTTTTTTTTTACTTTTGTTTGTTTCTATTTTTCTTTATGTTTTTTGCTTTTGGGGTCACACCCAACAATGCTCAGGGGTGACTCCTGGCGCTGCACTCAGGAATTACTCCTGGCGGTGCTTGGGGGACTCTATGGGGTGCTGGAGATTGAACCTGGGTCAGCCATTTGCAAGGCAAACGTCCTCCCCACTGTACTATCGCTCTGGCCCCTTGTTATTGTTTTGGATTGGCAGTGGTTGTCTTGTTTTCCTTCTTGTTGCTGTTTGTTTTGGGGCCACACCCGGCGATACTCACGGCTTCCTCCTGGCTCTGTACCTCAAGAGTCATTCCTGGCAGTGCTCAGGATGCCCGGGATCGAACCTGGGTCAGCTGCGTGCAAGACAAGCGCTCTCCCCCCTGGACTGTCTATCACTCTGGCCCTTTTTTTCCTTGTCACTGTTTTGCTTCAGAGTGAGTTCAGATTGAAACTTTCCAAGTTGTTCAGAAGTGGGGAAGGGCTGGGGTGTGCTTCGGTGGTAATGTACTTGCTTTGCAAGTACAGGGTCCTGGGTTTGATCCCCAGCATGGACCCTCACCCCCCTAAAAAAATGTTTTAAGTAGCCAAGGGGGCATGCAGAGAGTCAGAGCTTGTGCTCTGCGTGCAGGAGCCCTGGGGTCCCTTCCCAGTGTGGCCAGGAGCACCCCCAATCACCGAGCCCGGTGCAGCCCCCAGCACACAGTAGTGTGGCTTCCAGCCCTCCACCCCACCATTCTGGCTCCATTTCAGGTGCTCACATGTGGTGGTGGTGGTGGTAGTGGTGACCTCGTTGAGCAGGGCCGGTCTAGAACATTCCATACTTCCAGCCCTGTTGCATAGTTTGGACTCAGGCCGAACTGGCTGCCTCCTGGAAGGAAGCAGGTGGCTCGGGCTGTGTCCCAGTGCCCCAGGGGTTTCATTCCCCACAGGCTCCTGCCACTGTTTGCAGAGCTGGAGGCTCCCCCAGCAGGTGGCGCCCTCAGCACACCCCACCGTCCCTTCCAGGCCCAACCGCCTGCTCATTCTGCACGGCTTCCTGGATGAGAACGTGCACTTTTTCCACACCAACTTCCTCGTCTCCCAGCTGATCCGAGCAGGAAAACCTTACCAGCTCCAGGTGGGTGCAGTGGGCCCCTCTGGTCCCAGCCCTTCCCAGGGCCCTGTCCACGATGATTCCCCCTCCCCCACAAACCACCCAGATCCCCCACCCACCCACCTGGTGGAGGGATCCAGGCAATCCTGAAAGCTCCTTCAGACGCTGGGTACTTGCTTTGAAGGGATCTTAGAGGGTCAGAATTCCCAGAGCCCTGACAACTAAGGGTGGTGAGACCCTAGGCACAGGTAGTGGGGGGGATCCCAGGGTGATGATGGGCTCCAGCAGAAGAAAGGGGACTGGAAATGAGCCCTGGGGGCGGGGCTTCAGGGACTGAGAGGACTGGCGGGGGGGGGGGGGGGGGGGGGGGGGAGGGGCCTGGTGGGGCCAGGAGGGTGCACACACATGCACATGCGCGCCTGAAAGCCTCTGCCTGGCTTCTGGGCCACCTGCTGCCCTGTGCTGGAGAAGGGAGGGGGCCTGATGAAGGCCTTGAGCCTCCTTCCCCTTGATGGAACAGGCCCAAGAGCCCTGCCCCACGGGAAGGCCCACGGCCACCTCCCAGGAGCATCCAGCCTGGGCCTGGAAGCGCTTCCTCAGGTCTGGGGGAAGGAGGAGCAGAGGGAAGTGGGGGAGGGGGACTGTACCTCCACCTTCTATTTCAGACACCTCGAAACATGGGGCAGGCACCACCTCTAGTGTGGGAGGTACAGGAAGCAGCCAGACAGCGCCCCCCTTTCCCCCAACCCCCTTGTCCTGGAAACAGGATTTCAGCATCTGAGTGTAGGATGGAACAGACTGCTAGGCTCTGGCTGTTGGGGCAGACCCGAGGATGTTCTCTAAAGGCTCTCGGATCACCTGGGGTGGGGTTCCCCAGGCAAGGGTGGAAGCAGGACCAGGGAACTTTGGGGTCTGCACAGGGGGTGGGGTCTGTGGGCCTGGAGGGAGAAGGAAGAAGGTTTAGCAGCCACCCCGTTGCAGCCAGCCCTGTTATGAGCTGTGCTGAGTGTTGGCGGAAGCCTGGAGCAGGGTTTAGCAGGTGAGGTGAAGGGACCACCCAGGTGACCCCCAACCTGAGGGCCTTCAGCCAGCCAGAGGCAAGACCTGTGTTGGGGACTGAAGTGATAGCACAGCACGGAGGACATGTGACCGGCCTAGGTTCGATTCCCGGCATCCCATACGGTTCCCCAGGCCCTGCTAGGAGTGATGCCTGAGTGCAGAGCCGGGCCTGAGGATCGCCAGGGGTGGCCCAAGAAAAAGACTCGGGGGACCGGAGTACAGCGGGGAGGGCATTTGACTTGCACATAGCTGACCCTGGTTCGATCCCCGCTTCCCAGAGGGTCCCCCGAGTATTGCCAGGAGTAACTCCTGAGCATCACCGGGTGTGACCCGAAAGGACTGAGAAAAAAAGGACCTGAACATCGACTTCATGGGGTCTCTGCTATAGGGCGGCTTCTGTGGCTCAGGGGGTGCTGGGCCGTGCGCAGCCAGGGGGCGGGGCAGGCTGGAGGCCCCGCCTCCTCGAGGGGTCCAGGCCCCTCTTGGTTATCCTTCTGGCGAGAGCGAGAGCGGCGCCTCCAACGCCCCGTCGGCTGAGGTGGCTTCACCCGGTCCCCGGGGGCCGCTGCTGCCCGTCGCCGCGCGGGGTGCCGGAGCCACGCTCTGGGTGCCACCAGCCCTCGTCTTCCCCGCCTGCCCCCACAGATCTACCCCAACGAGAGACACAGCATCCGCTGCCCGGAGTCTGGGGAACACTACGAAGTCACGCTCCTGCACTTTCTCCAGGAACACCTCTGAGCCCCCGCCGCCAGCGGGGACGCCGCCAGAGCACAAGGGGCTCCCCCCGCCACCGCACAGCCGCCGCCCGAGCGCTGGCCACCCTGATGCCTTTTAGGGCTGGTGTTTCTTTCAGTGCCCTTGGAGTTGGGGCCCACCAGGACAGAAGGGCCAGGGGCGGGCTGGGAGCTGGCCCCCTGCTCTCTCCTGTCCAGGGGCGAGGCGCCCCGACTCCACTGGCCACCGCCTCCCCCGCCGCCCCACTTCCCGTTTGGTCTCGGGGTGCATTTCATGGCTGTAACCGAGAAGGCCGGGGTAACTCAAAATCAGAAGCAGGGTCACTGCCTGGGGCGTGGTTCAGAGTGCTGGGGGGGTGGCGCCCCGCAGGCCTCGAGCCTCGGGCATTATTGAAGCCGGGCAAACCCCCCACCCCGTTTTCTCCCCGGCCCGGCCTTCCGCACAAACGGGAGCCGGGTGAGGACGGGGTCCAGCGTGGACACAGCACCCCCTCAGGGTCTTCCTCTCCCCCTCCCCCTCCCGACCCTCCCTTGCAGCAGAGAACTCTGCCAGGGGCGGCCAGAGAAAGCAAAAGCAAAAAAGAAAAAAAAAAGAAACGAAAACGAACCACCTCTACATATTACGGAAAGAAAATATTTTTGTCGATCCTTATTTTATAATTATGCGTGGAAGTAGACTCATTAAAGGGTCCAGATGGTAGCCTGGCCACCCGCCTGAGGTTCCTTCGAAGCCCCGCCTTCGCGGTTGTGGGGTGTGGGGGGTCCACAAGCAGCGCCGGAGGGAGGACCCCATGCGCACACACGCCCACCCTGGGGAGGGCTCAGGGCACTGGGGGCCCTGCCCCAAAAGTGGGGAAGCCACACCTTCCAACCGCCTGCTGTAAGGTGGCTACCGAGTTCCAGCCTCTGGCTGTGCAGGGGTTTGATACAGCGTTTGCAGGGTCCAGAGAGCCCGCCAGGCAGGGTGACTGCCAGCTACAGAGCCCTGTATGTGTCCTGCGCGCACATCCTTTGCTTTCTAGCTCTTGCTTTTGCCTACCGCCGCCAACTCCACGACTCCTGGCGCACCCTGAAGTCCGCACCTGTCTCTTCATCTGGGAGCCACAGGTGCTACGTGATGACCACTGCCAGACGGTTCCCACCGCCACGCCCTGGATCCCCTATAATCTGACTTGAAAGACACCCGGCTTTTGGAGACCCCAGAGATAGTACGGGGATAAGGCACTCTCCTGGCCCTGTTTGAGCCCTGGTCTGTGTGTGGTCCCCTAAGACAAAAGTTAATGGAGACTGCGGGGAGGGGGGGTTAAGGCGTGTACCTTGTACAGGCTGGCCACCCTGCTCCCATCCCAGACGAGTCATTGCCAGTAGTAGCCCCTGGGCATTTCCAGGTGTGGCTAAGAACACTCCTTATCACTGGGCTGGAGCCTGGCCTCGGTCGCAGCTAACCCAATCTCCTTCAGGGATATCCGGTACAGTCCCCCGAGCACCGCCGGGAGTAATTCTTGAGTGCAGAGTGCAGAGTTCCCCCTGAGCATCACCAGGTGTGGTAAGAAAAAAAAACACACACAGAGGATGACCCTCCCTACTCCCGCTCCGAAAATAAAGGGGGGGGGGGGGGGATTGGAGCGCTAGCACAGTGGGTAGGGCCTTTGCCTTGCACGCGGCCTACCGGGGTTCGATTCTCAGCATTCCATAGGGTCCCCCGAGCACCGCCAGGAGTGATTCCTGAGTGCAGAGCCAGGAGGAACCCCTGTGCATCGCTGGGTGTGACCCAAAAAGCAAAAATAAAATGGGACTACCTTTCCTGCAAAGAGCAAGTCTTGGGTCCAGCCTGAGTTAGAACTCCCACACTGTAGATGAGGAGGGTTCAGCCGCTGGCTCCCAGGCTAGCGGGACGCTGGTGTACATGCCGCATAGATACATGGGGGGGATTTTAGCATTTCTAAGCCGCCCAGGCATTTCCCCGGTTGGCCGAGGCGGGCAAAGCAGAGGCGGTTCCCTGGCTCCCACTGTGCCCAGGCCTCCCACAGCACTTGGCAGGAAAGCTGTCTGCAGCGTAATTCATAAACTTCATTTGGTGGGCGCCACCTCCCACCTGCAACAGATTCAACTTAGGGGTCCTGGCTGCCAACAGTTATTCGCCGTTTGGCTCATGGAGGGCTTCCACCACCCTCGTGCCAGTCTGAATGTCCGAACTTTCAAGGCGAACTCTCCGGTTTCCGCTAACTTGCTCGCGAGTCTGGGGAAACGGCTTCAAGAACCACCCAGGCCCCGCCTACAAAGGGCGGGGGGGCGGGGCGCGCGGGGTCACGTGACCGCGCCGCCGCCAACGTGGCCGTCCAGGGGCGCCCCACGTGTCCCTCGTCGCGCTCCGTCCCGCCGCCTAAGCGCTCCCGCCCTAACGACCCGCTCCCAAGATGGCGGCGCCCTGCAGAGAGCGGAGTGGCGGCGGCGCCGCCAGCCTGTGGGCCTCGCTGCTCCTGGTGGCCGTGGCGCTGCGGCCGGCCGACGCCGTGTCCGAGCCATCGACCGTGGCGTTCGACGTGCGCCCCGGCGGCGTCGTGCACTCCTTCTCCGAGAGCGTGGGCCCGGGGGTACGTGTCTCCACCGCCAGCCCCGAAGGAAGCCCCAGCCAGCGCAGCTTCAGGAGGGCCTTCATGGGCGAAGCCGGGCAAAGGACTCGCGCTTGGGGGCTTCTCTGGAGAAGGGGCCTGGCTTTCGGGTGGGGTCCGAGCAGGCCCCTTGTTTTCGGGGGTGGGGCCCAGGGAGAGCCTTGCTCTGGGGGCGGGGCCTGGGTCTGGGCGGGGCTCTGGTGTGGGTGTGGCTCGGGTGGGTGGGGCTCTGATTTGCAGGCTGGGGCTTGGAGCGGGGCGTTTGTGGGCGGGGCTCTGACTGTGTAGGGGCGGGGCCTGTAGTTGGTGGGGCTTGAATGGGCGAGGCTTTGTTCCTGCGCTCTGGTTTGTAGGGGCGGGGTTCAGGAGGTTGTGTCTGTGGGTGGGCTTGGATGGGCGGGGCCTGAGGGGCTTGTGAGTGGGCCCGGAGGCTCGATTTGAGGGCGGCGTCTGGGTCTGGTCTGTGGGTAGGGCCTGAGTGGGCGGGGCTATGCGAGGGCGGGGTCAGGCCTGTGGGTGGGCGGGGCCTGAGGAAGATATATTTCCGGGGAAGTTGGTTCTGACCACCTGCTCAGGTAGTGTTCAGGGGCTACCGCTGGCCCTGCTGACGGTGGGGCCAGGAGCCATGTCGTGCAAGGAATTGGACTAGGGGCCCCTCACAGCTCACGTGGAAGGCAATCGCCTATGCGTGTCGTCTCCCCACCCCTTCTGTCTCCTTTCTCTTTAGCAGAGACACCCGCAGGGTTCTTGCATCCCCGTCCCATGACCTGGCAGGGGTGGGCTGGGGCGGGGTATGTTCTGAGTTTGGAGGGACCCCTCCAGCCGGTTGGTCCTGCTGCTAAGCCGAACAAGAAGAGGAAGTGGATTGGGCCTCCCTCCCTTCCGTATTGTACCGGGTCTCCCATCTTCCCGTTGAGGGTGAGTCCGGGCCCTCCGTCCCAGGACGCAGTGGGCCTGGGTCCGCAGTAGAGCTTTTTGGAGAAGCACTTCCTCTCCGTCTGCACCTGCAGCTACCATACCCAGAGTTTCTCTAGCCTGACTCCTTGCTAGCCTAGCTTGGTTGCTGTGTAGATCGGACCCATTTTACAGATGCAGAAACAGGCCCACTGCACCGCACAGATACTTCCCCCACAGCCCTGGGGGTTCTGCCTTCACAGCCTGCGACTCCAGTGGGGGGTGGGTGCGGGGGGGGAGGCGGGGACATGATCTCCCCCATCTGCTTAACCCAGAGATGCTTCATGAGTTGTTTGTCTTGTCCCAAGAGTGAGGCAGTTCCCTGCTATTAAAAGGCTGAGAGGGGCCAGAGCGGTAACACAGCGGGTAGGGCGTTTGCCCTGCACGCAGCCAACCCGGGTTCACTCCCCGGCATCCCATAGGGTTCCCCAGCACCACCAGTAGTAATTTCTGAGTACAGAGCCAGGAGTCACCCTTCAGCATTGCTGGGTGTGACACCCCCCAAAAATTTTTTTTAATTAAAAAATACATAATAGTAAAAGGCTGCAGAGCTGGCCAACAGGAACCTGGCAAAAGGCACCTGGCTCTCCTTCCCCAGCGCTCCAAAGTGGGTCTTTGGGGGTCGGTGGGGTGGGCAGAGTGCAGCAGGGAAGGCACTTGCCTTGAATGCAGCCACTGCGGCTGGGTCCCCTGCGTCCCACAGGGTCCCTGAACCTTGCCAAGAGTGATCTGGGGCACAGAGCCAGGAGTGAGCCCCGAGCATGGCTGGGGTTTGGGTTCTGGGGTTCAGGACTGCCTTGGGCTTCACCCAGCAGTGCTCAGGGGTTGACCGCTGGCCCTGTGCTCGGGGATCACTCGGGGGTGGGAATGCGGGGTTGCAGGCTGCCAGCCCCACGACCCCCGCTCTCTGTTCGGCCAGGGAGGCCTCTTGCTGAGCCTCTTCTCTCCTCCCCTCCCTCAGGACAGATATACCTGCAAGTTTACTTATGCCTCTCAGGGCGGGACCAACGAGGTGAGTGTTTCCAGGGTTCCTGCGCATCGTTCCTCAGGGCATCAGAAGTGGCCCTTGGGTGACAGTCCAGTGGGGAAGGCACTTGCCTTGCATGAATTGACCCAGGATCAATCCCTGGCACTCCAGATGGTCCCCTGAGCTCCCCCAGGAGGGACCCCTGAGCCCAGAGATAGGAGTCAGCCTCAAGCATGACTGGTTATGATCCTAAAACGAAACACACACACACACACACACACACACACACACACACACCACTTGGGAGCGATGGTCCAGCAGAGAGGGCGTTTGCCTTGCAGGCAGCCAACCCAGGTTCGGTCCCCGATATCCCATATAGTCCCCCGAGCACTGCCAGGAGTAATTCCTGAGTGCAGAGCCAGGAGTAACCCTGAGCATCACCAGGTGTGACCCAAAAAGAAAAAACAAAACCCAAGCCTCTATTATTTTCTCTCGTTTTGCTCTGTTTAGAACCAGAGCTATAGTAGACAGTAGAGCTGGGAGGGCATTCGCCTTGCACACGTCCTACCCAGGTTTAATCCCCGGCGTCCCATAGGGTCCCTCAAGCACCACCAGGAGTGATCCCTGAGTGCAGAGCCAGGAGGAACCCCTGAGCATCACTAGGTGTGGTCCCCAACCCCCCCAGACCCCCCTCCCAAAAAAGGCCATTTTGCTCTATTCATCGAGACCATTTGTAAAGTCACAGTTCGGCGCTGTTTGGGCTGGGGCTCCCCTTGGTTTGAGAGAGAGCAGAATGGGGCTCTTGGGGCCAGAGAGATCGTCCAGGGGCGGAGGCATCTGCTTTGCACGCAGCCGACCCTGCTCAGCTACCTGGCACCCCAGAGGCTCCCTGAGCTCAGACCAGAGGGGTCTGAGCACAGAGGCAGGAGTGAGTCCTGAGCATGGCCAGGTGTGGCCCTCCAAGGACTGAGACTGGGTTCCCGGCTAGCCTTTCTCCCCGCTGGGGGGGAAGAGACAAGAAGGGGACTAGAGCAATAGCACAGCAAGTCGGGCGTTTGCCTTGCTCGCGGCCAACCCGGGTTCGATTCCCAGCATCCCATATGGTCCCCTGAGCATGGCCAGGTGGGGCCCCCCAACCAGACCCCCCAAGGAGACACGCGCTCCAGCCTCCCAGAGCCGGAAAGGTAGGGGGCAGCTGCGCAAGGACCCGGTTCCGCTGGGGTCTCAGGGTTTTCTGTCCTCCAACCCCCAGAGGTGGCAGATGAGCCTGGGCACCAGCGAGGACCACCAGCACTTCACCTGCACCATCTGGAGGTGAGCCCGGGCATGGGTGGGCGAGCTCTGGGCATTGGGGACACTCCAGCACCCCCGCCCCTGCTCACCCCCACCCTCCCCCACGTGTGCAGGCCTCAGGGCAAGTCCTACCTCTACTTCACGCAGTTCCAGGCCGAGGTGCAGGGCGCCGAGATCGAGTACGCCATGGCCTACGTGAGTATCCGGCCAGGGGTGCTAGGATACCCCCCCTCTCAGAACTCGGGGAGCAGAAGCGGGGAGCCCACGGCTTAGAAATACACGGGGTTCCGCTAGGACGCCCAGGCTGACCCCCCTACCGAGACCTCGCAAGGGGCAAGGCAGGAAGGATGTGCCCCCCCCCCCCCCGCTTCCCTCCCTCCCACCCACTCATCTCCGGAACAAAGCACCAGGAAGTTGGGCTCCCGGGGGAACCGGCCCCCCATCACGAGAGATGGGGTCAGCCTGGCCAGGAAGGAACCCCATCAGGAAGGACCCCATCTCCAGAGCTCTTGCAGGGGGGACAGTGCTCAGTCCTGGCCGGGCCTCACCCCCTTCCCTGCAGCCCAGCGGCTGAGGGATGCGGAGCCCAAGCATCCCCCTGAAGCCCCCAGGGTCTGGGCGCAGCCGCACTCCGAGCTGACTCCTGCTTAGACCTTTGATCGGGGCCCCCCACAGCCCCGTTGGCCGCAGTTCTGAGGGGAACCCCACCTTGGTGCCCGGGGAGCCGCGAGACCCGGGGTTCCCAGCCCATCCCCACCTCTGCTGTGGGTCTGGGAGGGTCTGTGGGGAAGGGGGCTTGGGGGGACCTGTGCGGGTGTGGGGGGGTGGGGTCTGGGGAGACTGAGGCAGGGGGTCTATAGGGTCATGGGTCTGTGACGTGAGGGGTCTGGAGGAGTCTTTGCGGACTGTGTGGGTCTGTGGAGTCCGGGGTCTGTGGGGTGTGGGAGTTATGGAGTCCCATTCCCAGAAATGCCTCCCGACCCACCCCCCCCCCCGCCCCAGGAGTGGACATTGCAGCTGCCTGGTGGTGGCATGGGCAGGAGATGGGGGGACCTGAGCCCCTTGATGAGCTCTGGAGTGGATTAACCGCCGCCAGCAGGATTGGGTTTCCTGTGCTGGGCAGAGACCCCTGCACCCCTTTCTCGCCAGCCCCACTGACGAGCCCCTTCCCCCCTCAGTCTAAAGCTGCATTTGAGAGTGGGAGCGACGTACCCCTGAAAAGTGATGAATTTGAAGTCGCCAAAACGACAGGTGAGTCGGGCTGGAGCCACAGGACAGCGGGGAGGGCACGGCCCTGCGCTTGCGGATGGTCAGTGCAGGTTCAATCCCCGACACCCCGTAGGGTCCCCCAGCACTGCCAGGAGTAACCCCTGAGCCTCGCCGGGTGCAAGGTGCAGGGGAGGTGGGGGGCAGGGAGGGGGGCAGGCAGCAGCAACATCCACACGCCGGCTTTCTTCGTGTCCCAGGCAGGCTCTGCTGTGCCCATTTCTCATGGAGGGCAAATCCGGGTCTGCCCCCGCCCCGCCTCTCCCGGGATCCCCTGCAGCTGCGTTTCTTCTCTTGCAGTGTCCCACAGGCCCGGGGCCTTCAAGGCCGAGCTGTCCAAGCTGGTGATTGTGGCCAAGGCGACGCGGAGCGAGCTGTGACGGCCCGCGGGGCGAAGCGGGGGCCCAGGGGAAGCTGGGACCCGCGGTGTGACCCCTCGGTGCCGAGGGCGGTGCCAGGCCTATCCTCAAGCAGCGAGACGCGCCCGCAGCTCCTGTGACCGCCCTGTCCAGAGGCCGGGCCGGGCCTCCCTGCGTGCAGGGACCGTCCCGCCTGGCCGCCCCCACCCGCGCCTCCCTTCTGCCAAGCCTGGAAGATGTGGGCGCGCCCCGTGCTGGGGTGAAGCGGGGAGGGGGCGGAGCCGCAGCACAAAGGAGGGCACTGGCCCTGCACACGGCAACCTGGGTCCCAGCCCGGTACCCATGGAGTTCCCGGAGCTCTGCCAGGAGAGACCCCTGGGCGTAGAGCCGGGCGCAAACCCTGAGCATCGCCGGGTGTGGGCCCAAAAATAATAAAAATAAATAATGGAAACCAGGAAAGCTTGAGGTGCACCGCTGTCTGGTGTGGGGTGCAGGGGTAAGGGCACAGGGTGGGGTCCCGGGCACGGCTTCGCTGAGGCTGGGGGGGGGGGCCCCGTGAGCCGAGGGTGCAGGCCCAGCCATGGCCAGCAGGGGTCGCTCCAGGCGTCCTTACTCTGATGTTCCCAGATAGTTGATTTTTGTGGGTTTTTTGGCCATTTTTTTTTTTTGGAGGCATCACAGTGATAGCACATCAGGGAGGGCTCTTACCTGTCACGCAACCAACCCAGGTTCCATCCCCAGCACCCCATTGGGGGGCCCCCAGCACCACTAGGAATGATCCCCGAGCACAGAGCCAGGAGTCAGCCCTGAGCTTCACCAGGTGTGGGCCCCTCCCCCCCAAAAAAATTGATGCCAGATTAAGAAGCATTGGGAAAGGAGCCTCAGGTACCCAAAGGTGTTCTGGGGGCAGGTGATGGGAACCAGCCTGTCTCTGCGAGTGCCTCTCCCCGCCCCCCCCCCCCCCCCCCCCCCCCGCCCATAGTGGAGCTTCTGGAACACCTGACCCCCGACTCCCTGCCTCCCCGTGGGCTCAGGCTGTGGGATAGGGGATGTCTTGGAGTCTTGAGTTTACATGACCCCGAGGGGGTGTTGGGGCTCCAGGATGCAGCTGTGGGGGCAGACAGTTCCCAGGAAGGACTCAGAGACTCCTGGGCCATTTCCCACACTCTTTTATTCCAGGAAGCCGGGGCAGAAGCAGGGGTGCAGGTGGGACGCAGGGGAGCCTTTGGTGTTTGTGTTGTGTGGGATCAACCTGTGTGGGATGCCTGGTGTTTCTGTGGCATCGAGCTGTGACCACGAGGCACCCGCATGGCCACCCCAGGCAGTGCTAGGGGAGGGGTCCCCTAGCCAGCCTCAGGCACCCCGAGTCTTGGGTGTGGAACAACCGCTCTGCTTGTTTCTGCAGGGCTGGCAGTAAGCCCCATGTGTCCCCAAGGCCAGACCAGGCCTCCCGTGAGTCCCCACCCTCTTCCACACCTCACCCCCTCTGGCCTGTAAAACGCCAGCCTGGATGGGGGTGAGCCCCAGGTCCCCTAATCTAATGAGACACGGGCATCTCAGGCGCTTTTCCAGGGTACCCAGAGTTGAAGGGGGAAACGGGGTGTGGTCCCAAAGGCATCACTGGCACTCCAACACATACCCCAGCCCTCTCCCTGGGGGGGGCCACGCGCCCCCAACTGGCCACTAAGACGCTCTCCTCGAAGCATTTCCTCCCCCACCCCTCCACCCCCCGCTCCTGGAGATCAGGAGCCTGAGTCTGCGATCAAGGTTGGGTGTGGGGCTGCCCCCCCCATCCTGCCGCCCTTCACCTCTGCCTTCACCCTCTGGATACCCCTTTTAACCAGGCTGCAGTTCAGGCTCAGGATTGGGGGGACCCACGTGTCCTCAGCCACCACGGGGCACACTCGGACACGCCGCGGTGGGCAAAGGGTGAGGCCCCTGTGGGGAGTGTGTGGGCCTGGGGGAGCCGCCCCCAAACCCCCAGACTCCTCAGCAGCGCCTAAGCCCCTGGATCCTGACCAAGCAGTAGCAAGAGCTCAGCTGTCCTGGTGACCACCTCTTGGGGTCCCTCCCGGCACCTGGACCCCATCCCGGCAGTGTGGGGGGGCGGTGTACCACCTGCCCTGGAGAGCGTGTGGTTTGGGCCACACCAGGCTCCTGACTGGGAGGTCAGGGGTCCCTCCTGGTGGGCTCAGGGGACCCTATGAGATGCCAAGGATGGAACCTGGGTCAGCCACATGCAAGGCCAGTGCCCCCGCCAGGTCTTAACTGTCCGCCCCCCGCCCCCACTTTTATTTGGCGTATTTCGGTGACTTCTGGGGGCCACGGTGGGCACAGACAGCAGTGTTGGGTGTGGGGGCCTCACTCTGAGCCCTTCCCGCAGCCCCCAAGGTTTTTATTCTGATTGTGCAGTGGTGGGGGGCGGTGAGCACCCCGAATTTCCCCGCTGTCGGGCGGGGAGGGCTTGCGCCGAGAAGAGGGGCGCACGCGGGCTCTGCGGTCACGCGCTCCTGCTTCGCGAGAGCCCAGCAGCGGGCCGAGGAGGGCGTTTGAGGGGCGCAGCAGGGGCGCCCTCGTCGGCCCGGCGGGGAGCAGGAGCGGTTCTGGGGTGGGGGCCGAAGGAGCCGATGCGTCGCGCATGTTGGTTTGCGCACGAGGGCCGGTGGCAGCGTCCCGGGGCGCGGGGGCGCGGGGCCGGCCGGGGCCGGGGGGCGTCCCGGCCGCTCAGAGGCTGCCGGCGTCCAGCATGCGGGCCAGCCCGTCGCAGATGCGGCGCAGGTGGCCGCGGTAGGGCTCGGCCGGGCCGTAGAGCGCGCCCAGGAAGTCGGCGTCGGCCAGGCGGCCGCACACGTGCTGGATGCGGCCGTGCGACTTGGCGGTGAGGTGCGGGCCGGCCGCCTGGCGCAGCAGGTCCCCGCACTCCCGCAGGCCGGCGGCCAGCACGCGCCGGTCGAAGGTGAAGGCCACCTGGTGGAAGCTGACGGCGGTCATGGCCAGGCGGCGCGCGCGGCCGCGGAAGGCGCGCAGGGCGTCCAGCTCGGCCGGGCGCAGCTGCCCGGCGCGCACCAGCAGCGCCAGCTTCAGCGCCACCTTCACCAGGTTCTTCACCAGCCGCTGCGCCTCGCGCCGGCTGCGCGTGAACTCCTTGGTGGCGCGGTACAGCTCGTCCAGCACCTCGCTGCTCGCCTCGTCCAGGAAGGCGGTGGCCAGCCCCTTGGAGGCCACCTTGCTCAGGACCTTCTTCTGCGCCTCCAGCGCCAGGTTCTTGGTGCTGAACGAGTCCATGGTCCCTGAGCGGGGGCGGGGCGGGGCGGGCGAGAAAGCACAGCCAGTCAGCACCGCGGGGTCCGAGCCGCGCCCCCTGGGGACCATTCCCTCCGGCAGTGCTCAGGAGGGACTCCTGGCTCTGCGCTTGGGGATCACCCCGGGGCTCCGCGGCCCTTATGGGGTGGCGGCGGTCGACCCAGGGTCGCTCGCTTGCAAGGCAAGTGCCCCCCTTGCTGTCCTGTTTGGGGCGCCACACCCAGCAGTGCTCAGGGCTGACTCCTGACTCTGTGCTCAAGAAACACTCCCGGCGGGGACTAGGGGACCCTTGGGGATGCCGGGGATGGAACTCAGGTTGCCTGCGTGCAGGGCCAGCACCCTCCCCGTGCCCCAAGCTGGCATTTCTGCAGGAACTCAGCTGGCCACCGGTCGGGCCTCCAGAACAGAGAGGCTGAACCTCGCTCGGAGACACACAGCAGTAGCAACCCTCCCCATGCCCTGACTCCCTCCAGCTGCCCTGCCCAGCATCGTCACCACAAAACCAGCCCCTGGCGCAGGAGACGAGCCCAGGGCTGGCCTGGGCGAGGTCCCAAGCTCAGTCCCTGGCACCGCAACCCCATCCCGCCAAGAAACAGCAGGCCACCCGGCCACACCCAGGCTGAGTACCATCAGGAGGCCTGCGGGCCCCCAACAGCTGCCCCCGCTCCCCCGGTCGGCCTCTGTGAGGCAGCGTGATGCACCACCTCATGCCTCAGCTTCCTTCCCAAGAGCAGACTCAAAACCCACTGTCCTGGGAAGAATCTCGTGGCCGACAAGTCCCCTCCACCCCCCACCCCAAATACAACTCACAGCCCCACAGCAAGACCCACCACCTGTGGCATTCCCTGTCTCAGTGTCTCCATCACCTCCTCCTGGAAGCCTTCCTGGATGCACCAGGGGCTGTCGCGCCAGCTTGCAAGGACAGCGTGGGTGCAGCCTCCCCCGGCCACAGACAAGCATCTCGGGGCCCAGAGAGGGAGAAGCCTGGCCCTGTTGGGGTGGAGGCTGGGTCACCTGCCCGCTCTCGTCACAACATGAGCCCAGGTAGGCTCCAGCCCATCTGTGGGCCTACATTGTGCACCCCACAGGCCCTGAGTGTCCAGCTGCAGCCCCCTCCGCTCCAGACGCAGTTATGCCAGCGACATCCCATCCTAACAGCCAGGCACCCCCACCCCGCGCGGAGCCGCCAGCTCAGGATAAACCTGGGCCTTCCTTCCGGCGGATGGACAGGCCTTGGTGGAACTTCTGGATGGGCACGTGCACGGACTGTGTTGGGGGGAGGGGGGCAGGGCAACAGTCTCATCCCTGAGCCCCCGAGAGGACTGTGTGCAACAGCGGAAGCCCAGAGACCACCCTAGGGAAGCTTGCGAGTGTGCGGCCTTGAATTGGCCCTCAGCACCACCACTGCCATCATCATCACCGAGAGAAGGGACGGAGGGAGGGCAGCGACCATATGGGATGTTCCATACCCATGTGCTCCCTGGGCCCGCAAGGAGTCCTGAGTGCAGACCTGGGGTAACCCCTGAGCCCCGCCGAGTGGGGTTCAAAGAAAACAAGAGGGGAGAGGAAATGGACAGCCTGCAGGGTGCTCGCCAGTGTGTGCTTGGTCCCTCCCCCATGTCTCCCAGAGTCTCCAAGTACTGCCAGGGGTGACCCCTGAGCATCGCAGCACATGGCCCCACAAACAACATAATTTTTTTTTTTGCTTTTGGGTCACACCCGGCGATGCACAGGGGTTCCTCCTGGCTCTGCACTCAGGAATCACTCCTGGCGGTGCTCAGGGGACCCTCTGAGATGCTGGGAATCGAACCCGAGCCGGCCATGTTGGCTGCGTGCAAGGCAAACGCCCTACCCGCTGTGCTATTGCTCCAGCCACAACGACATAAATTTTTAGAAAATAAAAAAAAAAATGGGTGGAGAAGAGGGACTGCGTGAACCTTCCCTTGCCTGTGGCTAACCTGGCGTTGATCTCCACACCAAATGGGGTCCACAGAATCCCCCAAAATGTGATCACTGAGCACTACAGCAGCTGACACCCCACACCCCCAATGAAGCCAGAGCACTGGCGGCTGGCGAGTCTCCATTCTGCAGAGAGCTCGGAGGGTCCTGTGGAGCTACGGCAGGTTCGGGAGTGGGGCGGGGAGCGGGGCCGGGGGCAGAGGGAACACACATTTCTCAAGAAACGGATCTGGGAAGGACGGAAGCGCCCCACAGCGCCGTCTTGTGGCCACTTTCTGGAGCTGCAGTGACCCGAGTTTCCCAGCCCTTGGGTTTGCTTCAGTGTTAACCTTGGGAGGATAAAGGATCAAGCACGCAGCCTCGGGAAATGCAGCGGAGCCGAGCGGGGCACCCCCGACGCTTGCCTTATATTTGGCGAACCCCGGTTTGTTCGTCGGTGTTGTGGGGGGCATTTCATTAATTCCCCAGATGCGGATGACCGCAACAGTTTCTGGGAGGGTCAGGGGACTCTTTACGGTGCCTGAGATCGAACCCAGGTTGACCACAGGAGAGGACTGTGCCTTCCCGCAGTATGATCCCTCCAAACCGACCCCTGTTCTTACAGGTTTCCAGCATAGCCATCCCCGCACCCCACATTTCTGAGGGTGCCCTATTCCCCCTCCCTGAGAGTTTTGGGTTCCTATACACAGGAGAAGTCCCAAAGTCCTCTGTTCTCTATGAGGAGGGTGGCAGAGGTCAGATTCTACTCCGGCATCTTCAGAAATTTGGGATGAAGGTACCTGCCATCAAAGGAACTAAGAGTGGGCTGGGAAGAATATTAATGAATGTCGGAATAATGAGCCTAGGACAGGGCAAGAGTCTTTCCCAGAAATACACCACTTCTGCCCAGGATATTTTATTTGGGGGTGAGGGTCACAATGGGTCAGCGGGGTTCTGGGGACAATTAGTAATGCCTGGGATTGAACCTTGTCTGCTACAAGCAAGGTAGCTTTTTGTTTTTTAATTTAATTAAAATTTTTATGTCCTCGGGGCTGAAGCGATAGCACAGTGGGTAGGGCGTTTGCCTTGCATGCGACAGCATCCCATATGGTCCCCTGAGCACTGCCAGGAGTAATTCCTGAGTGCAGAGCCAGGAGTAACCCCTGTACATTGCCGGGTGTGACCCAAAATGCAGAAAAAAAATGTTATGTCCTCTTCAAGCAAGGCACGTTCTGAACCCGCTGTGCGGTCTCTGGCTGAACCACCTCATAAAAGTTTGCTGTTATTGTGCACCCCACAGCCCAAACCCTGCATTTCTGAGGGTGCTCCTTTGCTATGTGAAAGAAGGGTGCAGAGCAAGACTCAGCTCGATACGCCCCCCCACCCAAGTTTGCGTGTGAAGGAATCTGCTGGCATCAGAACTGAGGCTGTTCTGTTTTCTTGTTTTTGTTTCGGGGCCACAATCGGCGATGCTCAGGGATGACTCCTGGCTCTGCACTCAGGAATCACTGCTGGTATGATTGGGGAACCATATGGGGTGCTGGGAAATGAACTAAGTCCGCAGAACACAAGGCAAGGGCCTTAACTGCTCTGCTACCACTGCGCCTGTGGAAAATGCGTGCTTGATCCTTAATTACCCCATACCTAACACTGAAGCAAACCCAAGGGAGGAAATTTCTTGGAGAACCGAGCCTGAGGAGGGACGGAAACGCCAACAGCACCAAATCGTGACCTTTCGTCAGAACTGCCGCAGCCGGACTTTCCCACGCTTAAGATTTCCCGCCCAGGATGGGAGATGCATGCTGACAGTAGACTATAGACCGAACATGATTGCCACTCAATGCCTCTTTTGCAAACCACAGCACCCAAAAGGAGAGAGAGAACAAAAGGGAATGCCCTGCCACAGAGGCAGGGTGGGATGGGGTGTATGGGGGGTGGGAGGGACATTGGGATCATTGGAGTTGGAGAATGGGCCCTGGTGGAGGGATGGGTACTCGATCATTGTATAACTAAAACCCAAGCACAAAAATTTGTGTCTACAACTGTACCTCATGGTGTTTCACTAACAAAAATTAAAAAAAAAAATAGATTTCCAGCCCTTTTCTTTGCTTCAGTGTTAGGTATAGGGTCATTAAGGATCAAGCATGTCGCCTCGGGCTATGATGTGATAGTAACACCTAGGGCACTTCCCTTGCAGGCAGCCCAGCCGGTTTAATTCCAGCATCCCATAGGGTCTCGGAGGACAGCCAGAAGTAATTCCTGAGTGCAGAGCCAGGAGGAACCCTGGAACATTACCGAATGTGGCCCCAAAACAAACCAAATAAAAAGCAGCCTCACTTCCTTTGATAGCTGATTTCTTCACCTCCAAATTTGGGGAGAATCAAGCTGAATCCTCCTGTCTCCTCCGTCACGTAGAACAGGGCAGGGGGCACCCTCAGATCAGAAATGTGGGGTGGTGGGGTTTGGGGATGACCATGAGGGGAAACCGTCAGAACGGGGAGCAAGACCTGAGACTGTTCTGCGTGGACGACACTTACCTTGCTTGTGGTCAACCTGAGTTCGATCCTCCACACCTCTGAACCCCCTCAAGTGGTCCTTCAGCTCTGCTGTGGCCACCCACGCCGCCAAAAAAAGAATCCAGAGCGCTGTTTGCGGGTGAGTCAGCATGGGGGACTGCGGAGGTGGGTGTGGATCGGGCTCCCCCCTGCAGAGGGCTTGGTTCTGGGGAGCTCTAGCAGGTTCTGGGAGAGGGGTCAGGGCCAGGGTGGACGTTTCTGAGCTACATCCTTGGGTAGCGACTGAAAGGCTCCACAGCGCCACCTTGTGGTGACGTGGAGGAAGTGCCGCTCCTGAGTTTCCACGCTTAAGATTTCCAGCCCTCGGGTTTTCTTCAATGTTGACCGTAGGGTCATTAAGGGTCAAGCACGCCGCCTCAGGCTATGAGGTGACAGCAAAGCGGCTAGGGCGCTTGCCTTGCACACAGCCGTTTTGTGCCCGATCCCCAGCACCCTCTAGGGCTCCTGAGGTCGACCAGAATTAATTCTAGAGT